GAGAAGAGAAGAAAAGAAAAGAGAAGAAAAGAGCTTGAATCAGGAAGCTGACCAAGAAAGTGGGTAGGGAATCAGAGACGTGCTGTGCTAAGCAGAATGACCCCCTAGTTCCTGCTGCAAGTCAGGAGGCTGTGGTCTCTGGATAGATGTGGGCTTGGTATGGGAGTCCTGCATAGCAGCTTCTAACAAGGGAAAGCTGCAGTGGTAGACAATGGTCCCTGCTCCAGCTCCAGCTTGAGGGCTCAGTAGTGAGTGGGAGAAGTCCAGCAGAGGAGAAACTCACCTGAAGGCTGGCCACCCTTTCACACAGGTACTCAAGGAGGAAGTCCAAGTCTCAACTTGGGGTCAAGTAAACTAAGGCACAGGAATTATAAACTGGGACTATGTCCTAAGATTTGGCAACTTGTGAAAAATTTGAATACCTCCATCAAGTGTTCAGAAGAAGCTGGGTGCTGGTGGCTCACGCCTATAATCCTAGCTACTCAGAAGGCTGAGATCTGAGGATCCTGGTTCAAAGTCAGCCAAGACAGAAAAGTCTGTGAAACTCTGATCTCTAATTAACCACCCAAAATCCAGAAGTGGTGGTCTGGCTCAAGTGGTAGAGAGTTAGCCTTGAGCAAAAAAAGAGGTGCTATGACAAAGCGAGTGTCTGCAGGAGATCATGTAGAAGGTGACCATATAGGAGGGCTGGTGCTGGACACTGGGACAGGGCCCATTTAGGCCCCATGTCCATCATCTCTTTGAAGCCCTTCCAGTCAGCTTAAGAGTAGGCATGTCGCTGGGTGCTGGTAACTCATGCCTGTAATCCTAGCTACTCAGAAGGCTGAGATCTGAGGATTGTGGTTCACAGCCAGCCCTGCAGGAAAGTCAGACTCTTATTGCCACTTAACCACCAAGAAAGCCAGAAGAGGAGCTGTGTGGATCAAGTGGTAAAACATTAGCCTTGAGTAAAAAAAGCTCAAGGAACAATGCCCAGGCACTAATTTCAAACCCCAGGACTGGCAAAAAAGAAAAAAAAAGTAGCATGACCTGTCCCTAGACACCTCACATTGAGAGCTGGGTGAAATAAAGACTAGAGTAAATATACAGTCATTTAAAAATAGTCTCTAAAATTCTCTCTTTTGAGGTGGGGGGGGTGGCATATAGGGAGGTGAATACTGGAACTTAAACTCAGGAATAGGGTACTTTCCTTTAGCTCTTAGCTTTTTTTGTTTGTTTGTTTTTTGTCAGTTGTGGGGCCTGAACTCTGGGCCTACGCGCTGTCCCTCAGTTCTTCAGCTCAAGGCTAGCGCTCTACCGCTTGAGCCACAGCGCCACTTCCGGCTTTTTCTCCTTATGTGGTGCTGAGAAATCGAACCCAGGGCCTCAGGCATGCAAGGCAAGCACTCTACCACTGAGCCACCTTCTCAGCTGCTCTTAGTTTTTTTTTCTCCACAGGGCTAGCATTCTGCCACTTGAGCCTTAGCACCACTTTTAGCATGTTGCAGGTTAGTTGGAGATAAAAATCTTAAGGATTTATCTGTCAAGGCTGGCTTCAAACCACAATCCTCAGATCTCAGCTTCCTCAGTAGCTAGGATTACAGGTGTGAGCCCCCAGCACCAGACCACTCTCACTTTTACTTTAGAGCAGAACACTAGTTTGAAGCCCTCCTTACATGTAAATGTTGTGTGGCAAAAGTTGGCAGTGCAGTTTGGCTATATTCAAGAACACGTCAACCCTCCAGATGGTCTGCCATGAGCAGAGCCAGGCTTGCATGGGTTCACTCTAGTCTCCATTGCCACATACATATTCCTTAGCAACTTGTGCATCCATGGGTTTTTCTGTATGTTTATATATATGTTTTATGCATATTTTTCTGTATGTTTATGGAGATTATTCTGAAGCCAAGGATTCATGGCTATCTCTATATTACCACACAAAAGGCCTCAGAAAGAATCCCATTTTGGTAATTTTTTTTCAAGTATTGAAAGCAATTGAAGCCAGGCTCCTGTTGTTTACACCTGTAATCTTACTATTCCAAGGCTGAGATCTGAGGATCACAGTTTGAAGCCGCCCCAGTCAGGAAAATCCGTGAGATTTTTGTCTTCAATTAACTACAAAAAAAGCTGGAAGTAGAGCTGTGGCTCAAGTTGTAGAACACTAGCTGTGAGCAGAAAAGCTCAAGGACAGTAGCCAGGCCCTAAGTTTAAGCCCAGCCCACCCCAACCCGGTCTCCACCAACATGCACATGCAAAGTGATTGAAGTTGGGCAATTGTGGCTCACATCTGTAATCCTGTAATCTTAGCTACTCAGGAGTCTGATATCTGAGGATTGCTGTTCAAAGCCAGCTCAGGCAGACAAATCAGAAAACTAGAAGTAAAAGTATTTCTCAAGCGGTAGAGCACTAGTTTTCAGTGAAATGTTGAGCAAGAGTATATAGGTCCTGAGTTCAAACTCTTATACTAGCACCAAAAAAAAAAATGCAGTTGAATATTTTCTTCAACTGAAATTTTATAGAGAAGCCCAGTATGTAAACCTAATGTACTATGATTTAAACATGTTCCCCAAAAGTTCTTTATTTTTTGTGCCAATCTTGGGGCTTGAACTCAGGGCCCAGGCACTGTCCCTGAACTTCTTTTTGTTGGCTTGTTTTTGCCTGTCATGGGGCTTGAACTCTGGGCTTGGGCACTATCCCTGCACTCTTCAGCTCAAGGCAAGCCCTCTGCTGCTAGAGCCACAGCACCACTTCCCGTTTTCTAGTGGTTTATTGGACATAAGAGTCTCACGGACTTTCCTGCCCAGGCTGGCTTTGAACCGTGATCCTCAGCCTCCTGAGTAGCTAGGATTACAGGCCTAAGCCTAAGCCACCTGTCCCTGGCTCTCAAAAGTTCTTACATTGGCAACTTAACCCACAGATATTTTAATAGCATTTGGTGGCGAAACCTTGGGAGTGTTATTAGAATTCAGTGAGATCAAGTTGGTGGGAGCCCAAGGGGGTGTAAGTCGCTTTCCAAGACACAGAGGAGGCCTGGGCTGGCACACTTGCTCAGTCTCACCATCTGATTCCCTCCTCCATGTTATCATTCGGGAAGCACATCCTTAGCAGAGGCTGCCCATGGTTCATGCCTTCCAAAACTGCTTATCCCAAACTTTGAACTACATAAATCTCGATTCTTTATAAAGTAAGAGTCTGTGATACTCAGTTATGCCAACAGAAAGTAGACTGCAACCACACAAGAACAGGAAAGCCCTCTCCCATAGAAGGAGTGGGGCTGTACTATTGTACTATTGGCCTTGCGCCCTGGTACCTTATTGCAAATTTTACTGCTGCTCAAAGCATGGTTTGAAAATTCACAGTGCAATCAAGATGCTCATGTAACAGAGGACTCTGAGGCCCAGAGAAGGGAAACAGTGCCTCCACTCTTTGCCTAAGTCCCTTGACACTACACGTGTCTCCACAGGAGTGAGTCTGGCTCTGAAATCATGGCTGCAGGCATCGTGAGAGGGCATTAGTAGGTCTTGTTCACATCTTGAAGCTCTCTACTTTTTCTTCTAATCCCAGCATGCCTCAGTTCCATTTTGCATAATCTACATTTAAAAAATCTGACCATATTCTTCCTTGTTTGTCTTCTCCATTTACCTTCTTCGCTACCAGTAGTATCCACAGGCCAGAAAGGATAGGTTTCACCTTCCTAATTGTTCAAAGAGGCTTCACTATGGTATTGCAAGCATGCATAACCTATATTTTAAGCAGATTGATAATACATGTACATATATAGAGAGAGATGATCTTGTAGGTGTCTGTGTGGTTTTTTTGTTTTTTGTTTTGTCAGTTGTGGGGCTTGAACTCAGGGACTGGGTGTTGTCCCTGAGCTTTTGTGCTCAAGGCTAGTGCTCTACCACTTTGAGCCACAGCTCCACTTCCTGTTTATGTATGTCTATCTTTTAGGTCTAGCATCCACATATGAGAGAAAACATTTGTCCTTTGTCCTTCTGAGCCTGGTTTACTTCACCTAAAATGATGGTCTCCAGATTCATCCATTATTCTGCAAATGACAATGTCATCCTTCGTTCTTAATGGCTGTATAATAATCCATATATTCCATATACAATGGAATATATATATATATATAATCACATTTTCTTGATCCATTCATCAATTGTAAAATCTAGGTGGGGAAGTGGCGCTGTGGCTCAAGTGGTAGAGCACTCGCCTTGAGCTGAAGAGCGCAGGGACAGCGCCCAGGCCCAGAGTTCAAGCCCCACGACCAACTTAAAAGAAACACAACAACAAAATCTAGGTGGTTTTCATAGCTTGACTAAATATTGCTACCATGAAAGCAGAAGTATAAATACCTCTATGATACTTTGATTTACATTCCTTCAGATAGATGCCCAATAGTGATACATTACTAGATCATATGGTAGTTCTACTTTTTGTTTTCTGAGGAACTTCCATCTTTATTTCCATGCCTGAGGGATTTTTCCCCCTCATCCTTGCCAGCATTTGTTGTTTATGTGGATAGTGATGACCATTCAAATTAGAGTAAGATAAAATCTCTATGTAAATTCGATTAGTATGTTCTTTATGATCAGGGAGGTCGAACATTTCTACATATGTTTATTGGCCATTTGTACTTCTTCTACTGAGATGTGTCCAGCATTTTTTCCCAGCATTTTTGGGTTGTTGATTCTTTGTTTTTGGAGTTCTATGTAAATTCTAATTGTTCATCCTCTGTTAGATGCATAGCTGCAGATCATCTCCCATTCTATAGGCTGTCTTTTCAACCTAGTGACTATTTCCTTTGCTGTACAAAAGCTTTTAATCACTAATATGTCAATTGTTGTGCCCATTTATTTGCTATTAATGTTCAATTCAAAAAGTCCCTGCCTACTTCAGTACATTCTAGTGTTTTTCCAATTCTTTCAAAGTTTCTTTTCTTGCCTTACAATCTTCAACCCTCTCCAAGTTAATATTATTATAGAGTGAAAGATAAGGATCTAGTCCCCATTTTCTGCAAAAATATGCAATGTTTCATGAATTTGTGTGTCTTCCTTGCTCAGAGATCATGCTAATCTTCTCCGTCCCCTTTCAATTTGCATATCAATGCTGTTGAGGCCAGCACTTTCATTCTCTTGTAGACCACAACAAAACCTGTTCATGATGGAGAATAAGGAATTAGGGAGAAAGGGTTACACATCAATTGTCTCTTCCTGCAAAGCAAACCACTTCCAAGTTCAGAGACTGAAATGCCATCGAGTTATTGTGCACACTTGAGTGAGTGATGGGGCAGTTCCCTGCTGATGAAGCTTGAAGTTACACGTGCATCCAATGGGAGATGTTTTTCATAAGCTACTGGAAGAGCTGGAAGAGGAGTTCGAGTTTAGACATTCTTAGGCTATCTAAGCAAACACTCCACAGTGTTCAAGAAAGCCTTCCAGATAAATGTGGAATACTTTCCCTGCCACTGCTCCATTCACTCATTTAACAAACATTAGTTCACTGCAAAGAACTGGGCAGGGGGTGACTGGATAATCTGCATCACTGACCTTTCCAGGCTCATAGGAAAGGCAACTCAACTCGCAGCTCCAGGGTCTTGCTTGGGAACAAACACAGAGGAGGACCCTGATCCCACCTTGGAGAATCAAGGACGTGTTGCAGGACAGAATATGTCCGTACCGACATAAGAACAGACCTCAGGACCAATGGAATAGAATTGAAAACCCAGAAATGAACCTACAGACCTATAGCCATCTAATCTTCGATAAGGGAGCTAAAACAATAGAATGGAAGACAGACAGCCTCTTCAGTAAATGGTGCTGGCAAAACTGGTTAACTACATGTAGAAAACTAAAGCTAGATCCTTATATATCACCCTGCACCAGAATCAACTCCAAATGGATCAAAGACCTTGAACTCAAAGCAGACACTCTGAAAACATTACAGGATGGAATAGGAGAAACCCTGGGTCTCCTTGGCTCAGGCCGAAATTTTCTGAATAGAGACCCGGAAACACAACAAATCAAAGAAAGGTTGGACAAATGGGATTGTATAAGGTTGCAGAGCTTCTGCAGGGCAAATGACATAGCTAGCAAGATCAATAGAAAGCCCACGGACTGGGAGAAGATCTTCACTAGCCATACAACGGACAAGGGTCTCATATCTAAAATATACTTGGAACTCAAAAAATTAAACCACCCAACAACAAATCCTCAAAGAAACAACTGCCCAATAAGTAAGTGGGCGAAAGACTTAAAGAGAAGCTTCTCTGAAGAAGAAAGAAGGATGGCCAATAGACACATGAAGAAATGTTCAACATCCCTAGCCATAAAAGAAATGCAAATCAAAACAACATTGAGATACCACCTTACTCCAGTTAGAATGGCTAAAATCAAGAACTCTAATAACAACAGATGCTGGAGGGGATGTGGACAGAAAGGAACCTTACTTCATTGTTGGTGGGAATGTAAACTTGTTCAACCACTTTGGAAAGCAGTATGGAGGTTCCTCAAAAGACTCCACATAGAGCTCCCCAATGACCCAGCAATCCCACTTTTGGGCATTTACCCAAATGATCACAAACAAGGCCACACTAAAGCTACCAGCACAACTATGTTTATTGCAGCATTATTTACCATAGCTAAGATATGGAACCAACCCAGATGCCCCTCAGTAGATGAATGGATCTAGAAGATGTGGTATATATACACAATGGAATTCTATGCCTCCATCAGAAAGAATGACATTTCTCCATTTGTTAGGAAATGGAAAGGCTTGGAAAAAATTATATTAAGTGAAGTAAGCCAGGCCCAAAGAAACATAGGTCTCATGGTTTCCCTTATTTGCAATATCTAGTATAGGTATGAGTCAAGCGGAAAAAGTCAGAGAATGTGATGTTAGGAAAACGAACCCTCAAATATGTATTTTAATGTTTTTGTTTCTTTCATGCATGTGTTTCTAACGCATTTATAAGATTATTTCTTTGTTGCTTTGTATGTCCCTCCCCCACAGTGTAACCCCCGCTTTCACTATATTTGATGTCAGTATAACATGTGGAGGAGACGGGGACAAACAAGTCGTTTAAGGATTCAGGTGGACCTGTTGCAACAATGAGAAGTACAAAATGTCATGTCAAAACCAGCTTTACAATGTCGGTGGGGGGGGGAGGGGGGGTATGATTGGGTGGGGGGGGAGGGGGGAGGCTGGGAAGGGAGGTGAAGGGTAAACAAAGGAGGAGGCTGCAATGCTTGGTAAGAAATGTATGCATTATCCTGCCCATGTAATTGTAACCCCTCTGTACAGTATGTTCTCAAATAAAATTAAATTAAATTAAAAAAAAAAAAAAGAATATGTCCGTACCGAATCTTGAAAGATGTGCATGGGGTTGATAGAGGTACAGGGAGTGGGGATGGGGATCATTAAACCCTGGGGGCCAGTAGATGTGGGAGTAGGCAATAGACAGGGTCAAAGCTTGTCTTCTTTGAGAGATATCCAGAAATCAGTGGTTCTCCACTGACATTTCACACTCATTTAAGAACAAGCAACCAGCAGGGCAGCCATGCTTCACACTTCTAATCCTAGCTATTGGGGAAACTAAAATCTGAGGATCACAGTTTGAAACCAGCTTGGGCAGGAAAGACTATGAGACTCTTATCTCCAATTAACCATCAAAACCCCAGAAATGGAGCTGTGGCTCAAGTGCTAGAGTGCCAGCCTTGAGCAAAAAAGCTCAGGTTCAAATCCAGGTCCTGAGTTCAAGCCCTAAGACTGATGCTCACGCACGTGCGTGCGCACAGAGAGAGAGAGCGAGAGAGAGAGAGACAGGAGAGAGAGAGAGAGAGAAAATAAGGCACCAGCCAAGAAAACAGGGCAACTTTTAAAATAGAGAGAAGAATTGGGGATATATTAGGGGAAAAGGGGGATAACGGAAGGGATGGACCCTAATCAAGATGCCTTGTATGTATAAATTGCCATGTTGAACTGGGACCCTTTGGTGCAACTATTTAAAGATAATTTTTAAATCATTTTAATTAAAAATAAAGAAGCCATGCGCTAGTAGTGGCTCACATTTGTAATCCTAGCTACTCAAGAGGCTGAGAGCTAAGGATCACAGGAAGGAAAGTCCCTGAGATTCTTTTCTTCAATTAACCGCCAGAAAGACAGAAGAAGAGTTTGTAGTTCATGTGGTAGAGCATTAGCCTTGAGCAAAAAAAAAAAAAAAGCTCAGAGACAGCAGCCAGGTACTAGAACTGGGACTGGGACTTGAACTCAGGACCTCACACTTTTACTTGGCTTGTTTTGCCCCAGGCTAGCAATCTACCACCTGAGCCACAGCTCCACTTTAGGCATTTATTTGATGCTTAATTGGAGATAAGAGTCTCTCGTACTTGTCTGCCTGGGCTAGCATTGAATCATGATTCTCAGATCTCAGCCTCCCGAGTAGGTAAGGCTATAGCTGTGAGCCTCTGGCACCCAGCAAAGGTGTATTTTTTTTAACCTACATAATATAAACTACCTAGGATGGAGTTGTTTCATAATGAATGGATGCCTCAGTCTAAATTGTGTAGCCTGCCATCCTGAGACACAACCTTCACTCTCATGGTTCTTCATCCTTAAACATGCTCCCCACCCTCAAGGTTACCCTCCTTAGACCCAGCCTCTACTTTGCAGCTTTGTCGTGTCTAGTAGGTATGTATGGCCTTCACCCTCAAGATTTCCTCTTTGCTGGGTGCTGGTGGCTCATGCCTGTAATCCTAGCTACTCAGGAGGCTGAGATCTGAGGATTGCGGTTCAAAGCCAGCCCGGGCAGGAGAGACCGTGAGACTCCTATCTCCAATAAACCATCAGAAAACCGGAAGTGGCGCTGTAGCTCAAGTGGTAGAGCGCTCGCCTTGAGCTGAAGAGCTGAGGGACAGCGCCCAGGCCCAGAGTTCAAGCCCCACGACCGACAAAAAAAAAAAAAAAAAAAAAAAAGATTTCCTCTTTATCTTAAATGGCTGCTATACCTTCAACTATCATAACTATATTTCAAAACCAGAAAGAAAAAAATAAAAGGAAAAATGGAAAGACATGACACATCAAGAAATGTAATCCTTTTCAACACTTTCTGGAAACCCTTCCCATTGGTGTCCATATGCCTCTCATTGACTAGAACTGAGAGATCTGGCTGCTCAGGCTATAGTAGAGAATGGAAAGTCACATCTGATGTTTTGGAGCTCTGGTTCTCTGAATAAAATCCTATTAAGGAGGAAGGCATTAAGGGTGCTGCATAACCAGCCATTTCTTCATAGGAAGCCACAAGGGATTGTGGGAGGTGGGGGGCTAAGGAAATGAGCTCAGGAAAAATTGCAGCAGGAGAACTTCCTTTGCAGGAGAGCAAGCTTCCTTTCCTTGTCTTAGCTGAGAATCCCAACCTGGAAGAGGATTCACAGCCTGTCTGCACAGACATGTTTCCTGAAAACTTGCAAGTGGCCTCCAGATGCCTCTGAAGGGAGATTCCTTTTTAGAGAGGGTGGGCCATGATACATGACCATGTTTCCCAATTGTGTCTTACAGGAGAGCATTCCTCCTTTGAATTTTCTTCAGAGGATTTGTGTAGAGGTGGCTGGGGGGCACGGTCCCCGCAAAACTGGCTCATGGCCGTCCTTAACATAGCTACCAGGGAAGCCAGGAATGGAAAAGCCCCACTTCATGTCTATATCTTCACCAGCATGCTCTAGTTAATTAAAAGGACACAAGATTATTTTCCAACAGCTCACAAATCCCATCCTGCCTCCCTCCATCCTTTGCTCAGAAGCACATAAAGAAATTAGGGCAATTTAGTTTCATTTGATTCATTGCCTTTTGATGTGACTCTTCAGTCATCAGCGCCTCTACAGTATTACGGAATTTTGCTGGCATTGACTTTTAGTGTCATTTGGAGACAAGACAGTAAAAGCTAATATGCACTGGCTTTACTAACAAAGAAAAATAAATGCTAGATGAGAGGAAACTCCAGTTGGATTCACTTCCTGGCAGTTCATACAAGTTCATGACTGTTACTGACTTCAATGATGTACATTGATGAAGATAACAACCCTAGCAGGCTCATATTTTAATTTCATCCCTTTAAGTCTTATTTATTTA